TTGAAAAAAAAAAAAAAAAAAGTGTTTGATCCAGTACTTAAATTTTAGCCTAGTTGTAAGTTACACAGGCTTCTTTGGCAGCTCTCTTCAGGGGATAGTAAGTAGTGGGGCTGCCTCCAAATCCTCTTTCTACAAAATCCTACAATGTGATGGTTAGTTTTATATCTCATCATGCCTGGACCACAGAGTGCCCATTTGGAGTAAGCATTTTCCTAGGCATGTTTGGAAGGGTATTTCTGGATGGATGAAATTGCCATTTGAATCAACAGGCTGTCAGGCCAATTTCCCACACCAGTGAAAATGGGCCTTAAATGCATTTGTCATCTTTCTGTCACTGTGATAAAATATCTGAGGAAAAACAACTTACAAGAAGGGAAGGATAATTTTGACTCATGGTTTCAGAGTTCTCAGTCCATGTTCTGGGCCTGCAGTGGCATAGTGCATGATGGCAGAAGGGCAGGCAAGGGAAACCTGTTCACCTCATGGTGGCCTGGAAGGAGTAAGATTGGAAACAGGAGACAGCTTCAGTGGCCTAACTTCTTTCCAGGAGGCCCTACATCCTGAAGGTTCCACAAAATCTCAGTGGTGTCACAGATTGGGGACCAAGGCTCCCACACACGGACTTTCTGGAAACACTCGAGATCCAAACTGCAGCAGCATCCAGTCTTCTGGAAAGCTGGCTAGAACAAAAAGCCAAAGTAACTCAAACCCTCTGTCTATTTTTACACTAAGACACTGGTCTATTGCCTTCAGACTCAAGCTGAATATTTTTTCCATTCTTCTGGTTCCCAGGCCTTCAGACTTGGACTAGAACTGTATCATTGGCTCTCTAGCTTGCCAACTGTACATATTAGGATTTTCAGTTCCATAACGATATAAGCTAATTTCTTATAGTAAACTGTGTATGTGTATTCTGTTGTCCTATCAATCATATTTCTTTGAAGAACCCTAACAGTATTTATGACTTACGTGGACTGATCATGATCGTGAAGAATCAACTCTGAATCAACAAGAATCGTGAAGTTCAACTCTGTCTCTTCCCACACCTCCTCAGGATGTTAAATCAGAGAAAGAAATAGGCACTTCTGCTCTCTCAGATCTTTAGATCTAGCCTGGAACTGAAAGGATACCTAAAACTCTGGATTAACAAGAAGATTTAGAGGCCAAGGATTAGGTCTAAGTAATCTTTCCTTGCCCAAAGACTTAAAAATTTCCTTTGACTTTTAGGAGCTTTACTTACCATCTAGAAATCATTTTATCCAAACAACCTAGGTTTGGATAACACATAAAAGAGGAAAAAGAAAAACAGAATATGCAAGAGAGGGAAGAAAATTTGTGACCTGATTTTGGCTGAGAACATTCTATTTGTGAGTCTACTTGGTATTGCTCTGAAAATCATCTGCAAGTAGATTTCAGCAATCCTAACAGAGCAAAATTACCAGCTATTAGTTCTTCAGCTAAATAGGATACTTTGTTTCATTGAATCTGACTCTGGGATTGGCCCTGTCCCTGCCAGAGTATGGCTTAGGTATGAAATTCATTAATTCCTAATTTTCTTAAAGGCAGAATAAAAACCCTTTGCCACATGGAACAATTAGGCCAAGGTCCCTCCATCTGGAGAGATTTGAATAAATACACTCGGAGACAGGTGCCTCCTGTCACCTCCACCATGTACTAAGCTTAATGCTTTGTAAAGATAGCATAAATTTATACTTAATACTCTAGTGATTTGAAAATGTAGCCGTGATGGAGAAGCACCCATCTAGACCTTATATAACAATCCACCAAAACAAAACAAAACAAGACACCCTTGGATTAACTCACAAATCCTGAGAATTCAAAGTTTTGTCACAGTAAAGCAGAATCCACATCTTCCCATCTCCTATGTTGCTTTGTGTAGACTCTGGAGTGTTTTTTGTAGTCTTTTCTCTCCATTTCTTGTGTTTATTTCAGTTCCTGTTGCCTCCTTATCCAAGCCTTTGCTATACAAGATATGGCTCTCCAGCTAGCCCCTGTGACATTACTTAATAAGACAGACTCTGCATTATAATAAAGTCCCCAGGTGATTTTGATGCATTTAAGTTTGTGACTCATTGATCTATATACCTCTAAATGGATCTCACCAGGATGTACGCCCTGACACCAGGACCTGTGATGTGCAGAGATAATACACTCTGTTCCATCTTTCATCTCCTAGGAAATGATGTAATTAATTCTCTACCATAAATCCCACCTTAACACTAGTTATGTAAAATTTTATAGAAAGTGTCCTCAGAGTCGTGTGTGTGTGTGTAAGGAGGGGGAGAGAGACAGAATATGAATGAATCCAGTTGTCTCTGCAGTTGGCTAGACAATTGCTTGATGGGGGTGTGGAGGGAAAGGAGATACATCAGAATGCCAAAGCTCAGTGCTCAGTGATGTTCTCTATGCACAACAGCTGAGCACAGAATCTATTCACATGCCACACATATTTCGAGAGACTCCTCTTTTCTACTTGATTTAGCTTGGATCTCTTCTAGTTCACATTGGATGGACTCTCTATCCTTTATGGCTTACTGACTCAAAGACAGGTACCAGCAGCTGAGACTGAGCAATGCCTTAGGTATTTGGCTATTTCAGCAGGACACATCACAGGACTGACTGATTGCAAATAAATCTCTTGAGCTCATGCTGACTTTTATATCACCATCATTAGTTAAGAAAAAAAATGAGAACCAAGACCTGTCATGTAAAGTTACAAGATCCCAATAATGAATGTAATTGTACTGTATACTTAAAATGTACCAATAAGCTCAAAGAGAGAGAAAAAAAAGAAAGGGGTCTGTTGAGATTGAGAATAGAGGCCCAGAGAAATTTAAGATGAGATGCTTTTCATCTGACATGCTGTCACCCCAGTCACCACCACTGAGTAAGGCATGCCTTACACTTGGGCAGCACTGAAATTAAACATATTGGTTTTGGAGTTAGATGAGTTTTGCTTGAATCTCACTTCTACAGCATTTAAGTTTTGACTTTTGATGAGTTCTGGAACTTTAATGTCATTATTCTCTTCGTGTAATGAAGGTGGTGCAAGAACCTATCTTATACTGATATCATAAAGATTAAATATACAGTACTTAGCACTGCAGTTGGTACACAGAAGTGCTCCATAAGTAATATTGTTATGAATATTATTATTTTCATAGTTGACACTATATACACTAGCAACTACTGTTGATCCAGATTGAATCTGGAATTTCTTAGGAATTGCAATTTAATCTCATTTAAGTATGCAAAATGTTGTATTAAAAAGTTTTGAGGTACTTTAAGGCTGAAGAACATAGGTACTCTCCTCTTAAAAATATAAACTATGTACATAGGCATCTAGACTCCCAATAAAAGTAGAGAAAAGGTGCAAACTGAAGCAGTCATGGGTAATTCTTAGGAATACAAGGGTATATAGAAATAAAATTCAAGTCATAATGCAAAAGGATTTACACTGCGTATCTATTTGTTTAAAGAAAGCTGCTATCAAGGTTTACTCATTGTGATCATTTTTGCACCATGCTCTAGATTCAGCCAAGTGCTAAACTGCATTTTACTGTCCCTAGCCTGTTCCAACTCAGCCTTTATTGGAATGCCAGAGCTCGAAGGCAAAGAGTTTGAATCCCCTGATGCCAGGTTGTTCTTGGCAAAAATGTATGTTGGCCAAGATGGAATCACGAAGCTCTGCCCTCTTTATTTGGTGCTAGAACCAAGTGAGATTTCTTGTCTGTATAGTAATTCAGAAATAGAAATCTCACCTGGGGATACCCATGGAGCCTCTTATGGATAATGAAGGGGTTGGATCGGATCCTCATGTTTTTCAAATGATCTCCTTTAAATAATAGAATTCTTCCATCAAACAATGAACTACCCCAATACAAAAAACAGATAAAACTCTTCTATTCTGCTTGATGAGTTTATATTTGAGCATAAGGGACCTTTAGGACCCCTACTTTTCCAGATACTTGCTGCTATGAGCACCCATTCACTCCCTGTCTCCCTCACACCCACATACACAGTGTCCTCTGCCAACAAATCCCAGGATTTCTTCAAACATTATTTTAAAATCAGTGCAATACAGGATTTTTAAGGCATAGTCGACTCCTGGTTTAGAATTGGTACCAATAGCCAGCTATGAGTTGGGATAAATAAGGACAGATTCTACATCTTGGAAGGAGAATGAGAGTCTATAAGCAAAGCCAAAGCTCAGAATGGCAGTCTAGGATTGAAGCTGAGAAAAACCCAAGGTCTAAGGAAATTGCTGAGTCTGGTAGTCATGGCAGGAGGTGGAGGTCCCTTTAAGAACAAGCCCAGCTACCTGTGTGGGCTTGTTTCTGAGTTGTGTCATAAACAGATGCCCTTGGCTTCCAAGAGACAGTGTTTGTCACCCACTCGTGATCTGGATTGTTCATGTACCTTCAAAACACCCAATATGTTTTCCCTTCCAACTTGGCAAGATACTCACTCTGTGTGGTTTGTTTCCGGTGTAGGCCCAGTAAGAAGGCATGGGCATGGGCAGAGAGTACCAACAATGGCTACAGTTTCATCTGCAGAAGTCCAAGTAAAACCCAGAAGCTATAAGTCTTTGAATTATTATTTACACCTATGAAGTATGTACGTGAGAGCATTTTAGAAATTTTTAGTACTTATTTTACTACTCTGGGGTCTATAAGATAGGTCTGATATTTGACCAGTGATTCTCAGTATCTGATCTTTAGTAGATCAAGTCTTAGAGAAATGGGTGTTCCAGGTAGAAATGAGGTAAACCCATTGGGTTAAGCGGATACACTGACTAGATTAGAAAATTGAAGGAAAAATAGTACCATCCACTTTCAAAACCAAGCCAAGAATATCCACAAACACGGAGACAATGCTTTACACCGCTACCTGTCACACTAACTTCCATCTTAGATGTTCAAAGTTTCAGATTTATAAAACTTCCTCATAGAGTCTCTAACAGGATCTGGAGATGCTCTTCTCTATGATCCACAATATGCTTGTCTGCCTGGGAGGAAGAGACACCTCCAAACAAGTGGTGAAACCAATAGGACTGAGTTTAGAAAAGCAATTTTAGTTCAGAATTGGGTTTTCTAACACAAAGACTATTGTTCTTTCTTCTCATTGACATGTCTTGGGGATGTGGTTACCAAAGGAAAACCTGGGCTTCTCTGTGCCAGTTCAATATAAAAAGGAGAGCAAACAGTAGAAAGCCTTCTGTAGAGTCAGAGAGTGTTGATTCCTATCAATAAACTACTATGCCTTCCAGCCATGGAAGCTCCCTAAGACAGAAGCTGAGGTGATTTCCTAATTAGAGGCAGGGGCCTCAATTCCAAGTGGGCCCAGCTGCCTCGGTAGGTCTGGGAGGAGAACAATTCACGGCCACATGGTAGAAATGTTTCTGTAGTAAGTCCAGAAGATAGAGTGAGAGCTAAGGAGTGGCCCGAATAACAAGGGAAGTGAGGCGATGAAGGTGGCTTTCCCAGATTCTTAAACATAGTTTAGTTTTAAAAATGTTTTTTTTTTAACAAGGCCCACCTAAGAAACTCCTTCATGCCACCAAGTCTATTTTTGTTGTCCCCAAGATGTCCACAAGGCCCCACCTGTTTCCATCCACCTGTTTCCGTCCTGTCCTTTCTGTGCTCTAGGCTGCCCTGGGGAGTAGAGGGTGTGAGGGGGCCTGTGTGGTGCCTGCCCTTGATGCTGCCATTGAGATGTGCAGGCACCAGGCATCTGCTCTTGCGTCTGCCCAAAATAGAATGTCTCATTGTGATGGATTAATCCTTTGGCTCCAATCCTGCCCGGGTCACCAGCTCAGTCTGCACGGAGTGAGGGGAAGGGAGGGGCACAAGGGGCACTTAACTCATTCAGCACATTCCCTCTGTTCTCCTGCAGAAGTGCCTGGCCAGCTGCTCAGCCCTTATGGAGAAACGGGCCTGGCAGGTGGCTGGAGGGCCTCCAACGAAGGGATAATTTGCTTCCTTTTGAGTGGTCATGGACTGCTGGGGGCAGAGAACCAAATTAAAGGCGATCTTTCCTTTTTCTGATCTCCTTCAACATGGAATTTCAACTTCTCAATCTTTCTGTATTTCAATTTCCTCGTCTGTCAAATCATGATAATAATTTTACTTATCTCATAGGACTATTAATATGATTCAATGAATCAGTACACATACAGTGCTCAAAACTTCACAAAAGGACATATATTGTATAATTCTACTTATACAAGGTACCAAGAGGAATCAAATTTATAGAGACAGAGAAAGTAGAATGAATGGTGGTTGCCAGGGGCTGGACAGAGGGAGGGAGGAAGGAGGACTGGATAATTAATGGGTATGGAGCTTCAGACTGAGGTGATAAAATGGTCTGGGTTGGAGGTAGGAAAAGCTGTAGACCAATCAAAATGTAATTAATGACTCTGAACTGTTCACTTCAAAATGGTTAAGTTGTTAAATTTTGTTGTATGTATTTTACCATGATACACACACACACACACACACACACACACACACACACTCAATTGTGCGAGGTGTATAAACAGGAGCAATGTAAGCGTTGGCTATCATTTATTATCATTTACTTAAGATGCATATCATTTCCGATATCATTTTGCAAATAAGTGTAAGTGAAAATATTTTCTCTTCAAAAACTCCCGTTTGTGTTTCACCTTGACACAACACCTGTGCATAGGCAGCTCCAGTTTACCTACACAAAATGAATGAGCATGCTGCACCCAGAACACAGAATTTTCCGAAGTAAATTCTGTCACACTTACCCTCCTGGTTTACAGTGCAGATGATGTTCTCTGCCCGTCAATAAGCCAGGAGAAGGCACTTGGAGAAGCCATGGCAGAATGTTGACTCTCACTGCTTCCATAATTACCTCCTCAGTGGGTTGCTTTGACTTCCAGGGATGATTAAGGTCACTCTGTCAGAGTGGCTCAGGAACTGACTTCAGGGTCATTCTGTGTTTGGTGGACTTCATGGGGACTGAGTCAGAACAGCAGCAGGAAGCCCAAAGCTTGGGCTATATCCTGAAGTTCCCACACAACACCTTTGGTCAGCGTCCTATGATCGGCCCTCAGAGAGCTCTGCTTTGGAAGAAGAAGCAGGGGTTGTGCGTGCTTCCACTCACTTGGACCATCCCACTTACAGCAGGAGCTGTCTCTCTTTGCCTTACCATCCAATGCCTTCCCATCCAGAAGGAGAAAGGAAGCCAGAGAAGCCTGCAGTTTTCAACAATGTCCCAAACCTAATTGTTTCAAGTCTCAAGAGACACTGTAAAAACACCAGAGGAATCTCCTGAAAGAATTCTTTGGAAAGGCCCAGGGATGAGTGACTGCACCTTGTCGCCAAGGAGAAAAACCCTAGGGAATAGCTGTGGGCTAAGTGTACTGAACCTTTGGAGCCTCACGCAGTAAGCATTAAGCCACGTTTGTGCGGAATATTTTCACAAGCTCACTGGGGCTGTGAGGCTTCATCAGAAAGCGTCAGTTCACCTTGTGGGAGACGAAAGTTAATTTCCAGGGACCTTAAACAACCTTTGGCTTTGGCTGGGTAAAGAGGAGTTGGATGATCCTGGGCAGCAGAAATGAAAAGCCACAGGCAGATGACTAGGATGGTGGCTGAAAAGGGCAGTGGAGGACAGATGAGCCAAAAGCTTGAAGATTAGAGAGCCTCCAATCCTGTTGGAAAAGGTTAGGGAGACAAGATGTGCATTCTGTCTGTGGCCCCAACCCTCCCACTGACTTGAATGATTTCTGCTCTGACTATACTTCCCATGTCACACACTTCGGTCGCTCCTTTGGGTTTGTCTAAATTCCTAGTTGGCTGGAGATTACAGAGAAGTCACTGTGTACAAAGTGTTGTACTCTTGGGACCACCTTGGGAAGGCACGTTCTGCTGAGCAGGCCCAAATGAAGCTGATGACAAGTCGATTCCTTGTCAGCCACAGGCTTCCATCTGAAGACTCCCCAGTGGGGCCGCTGTCGGGACAAAGGCAGGGAAGCATGTAAGAGATTAGAGAGTGACCCTGATCTGTGGTTGTGACTTTGCCTCCCCTGGATAGGATTAGATGTAATGATGCTGCATTCATAGGCTTCCTGGTCCATTCAGGCTCTTAAAATTATCTTTATGCTCATGCATAAGACACACACACACACACTCACACACACACACACACACACACACACACACACACACACACACCACAGAACCTTGCACTGGCTTACAAAGCCAGACCTGTGGCCTGTTGGGGCCTTGTTCAAGAGGAAGATGAACTGCCTGCCAGAAACAGCAAGCTGTTGCTTTTAGCCACAGGGCTGAGGCATACAGTTCATGCACACTTTGCATGCAGACAAAGATTGGAAAGAAAAACTAATTCAAATAAAGGTGTTTGACATTCAAAGGAAAGTGAAGAGTGGCAAGCTGGCTCGGTGCCCAGAGAATCAAGAAGCAGTTGTTTCTAAATCCAACTCTGATACTGTTGACCGTGAACAAATTATCTAACCTCTCTGGTTCTCTGCTTCTCTAAGTATGAATCAGGAGCTCTAGTTATGACTACCTGATCTGCTATACAATATGAAATTGGAGGAAAAGGAAAGAAAATGTTAATAAAATGGTTGGCTTGTATACAAGGTACAAAACGCTAAGGGTTGCAATAAAAGCCTTCATAGTGACATCTGGATATGCACACTGGAATTTCCTGTGTCTGCCCCATACCCTCATGTTAAGTGCTCTCATTAATTCAAACTGAGACACCCCATGGCCCTTGACTGACACAGCGAAAACAGTATAACAAAATAGAATACACAACCGCACGTACTCAGCCCCAAATGATCTGGTAAGTCTTTAGTCTGCTACAGCCTATCGAGTAAGAGTCCCACGTTATCACTCAGACATCTATGCCTAGGCTTCTCATTTTGCTCAGCTTTCTTAGAGATTTCCCTCTCCTCATACTCTCACAACTATGGTCTCCACATAAATATTAAAATTCTGCTACTTCATTAATGTACATTTAGCTTATCTAAGGACTGACCACTTTGGAATTTGGATCTGAAAAAGCATTCAATTATTCTGTACTTAACACAGGCAAAAATAATGGCTACTTCTTACTTGACTCACACACCAACTTTCACTTATTCCATAAAGTTCATACCTGCTATGTATCTTTGTTAGAGAGGGATGCAGGGGATCATGGACTTAAAATTGTACCTATGTCTGGTATCCATTTTGTGCAATGAGACCTTGATGTTTTGTTCAGTTCTCTGGAGAGAGACTAACTGGATCTACTTCTGATTTACTCCACGTCTATGTTCTGAAACTCAACACCTACATGATTTGAAAAGAAATAAATTAATTTCCTTTTAGCCAATACAATTATTTTCATTGATGTAAGCATTGTGCATGTGTGTGTGATTTTCTGCAACAATTCAATATAAATGTGTAACAAGGTGAATAGAAATAATAAGCTTTTAATGTTTTCCACCCCCTCTGGAACAAAGTCCCTGACACCAACTTTCCTTCTTAAAAGAGTCTCCCAGGTTCTGGGAACAAGAACATTCAGCCTTTACAGATTAGCAGAGCTAAGGAATTTGTACATGTAGTTTTAAAATAGCTGAGATGTCAAACAGGGGTCAATTTTCACATAGGACATGTATGGTGAAGAGCCTGGTAAGTTACATTGCTTAGAGTATTTATTTATAGTAAATTAACTATTGCGAAGCTTGGTACAATTTATTTCAGAGGTTCTAGGGAAGTCAGCCTTTCCTCAGAAGGAAAAATTGCACAAATATGCAAGTGTCGATACACGTGTCTGCACACACACCCAGGAGATCATCTAGATACCATTCTTAAGTTTTTTCCTACCGTTTAATAATGATTTAGAGGAATTTACAGAAATTATCAGAATCAGTTGCCCAAAGCTTCACTTATATGGAAACACAGATTTGTGCTTATGTGGGGATTCCCTCTTTTCATTTTTGTAGGGCTGTTTCTATTCACCATAGTGCTTCCCCAGGAAGCAGAGGGAAAGGATTTTTTTTAAAACTTCCCAATTCTCTTTTCAGGCCAATTTGTCCCTTTTTGCTCACTTTTCCTTCCAGACCATTCTTTCCACAATCCCCCTCAAATACTCCCTGCTTTCTTGCTGGAAAGGTCATGACCACTAATGGAGCTAATAGGAGACCCCTTTGAAAGGTACTTACATGTTAAAAGAGAAGCTTAGAAAAGGCAAAACTTAGAGGAACTATACCTCCAAGATCGGAACTGTGGGGGTTTTGGCAGTTTAGAATTATTGTTGTGGAAGGACAGATACCTTCTTAGTTGCCCTTAAAAACATTGTATATGTCCTTTTCTATTTTTGCTTACAAATACCCTGCTTGGCCATCCAAATGAATGGCAATTTTAGCATTTTATATAACTAGATTCACTGATTCTTTCACTTGATGACATCTGCTTCTTTCCCATAAGCTGCTCACAGACACACACACACACACACACACACACACACACACACACACACACACAAATGATACTAGAGATTGAGCCCAGGGCCTTTGCATTAAGTACATTCCTAGCCCTCTTGTTCTTTTATTTTGAGGACAAGGTCTTGCTAGATTTCTAAATTGCCCAGGCTAGGCTTGAACTTGGGGTCTTTCTGCTCAGTCTTCCAGAGTGCTGGGATTACATATTTTTAGAACAGGTTTATTGGTAAACACTGGATATGCTTTCAGCAACAT